TCAAACCCACCAGCCACTCCTCGGAAGGAAGGTTGGGCAATTCTACTTCCGTAGTGATACTGCCTTGGAAACCCAAGGAGGGGTCACTATGAGTTGGGGCCGACTCGACGGCACATAACAACAACAACAACAACATTCAACCAATATGAGTGTGGGTCTTCTGTGTCTGATCAGTTGTGCTATGCACAGAGACAGCAGGAATCAAGACAGGCAAAAATCCTTAACTTCACAAAGCTTCAGAGACACAGACATAGGATCAGAAAATCAAGTGCACTGTGGTAATTTCTCTGTTGTGGCATGCAGGGACATAGCAAGGGGACAAAGTCAGTCTGAGGAAGAGAGTTGCCCTCCTCAGAGACACAAGTGTAGGATGAGATATGTAGGTGAGTTTGGAGTAAATCAACCAGGTAAAGGTGGGGAAAGGGTAGTCCCCTAAAAGGAGCTGCGTGTATGCTCAGATCACTCAGAAACACTGAGGCTGCCTGGAGTACAGTGTACCAAACAGGAGGGTTGTGGTTCCCATATCAGCATGCCCACATCAAAGCTCAGCACACATGGGCCACAGTGGCTGAGATGACATAGTGCTTGATTAGCAGCCTGGAATGTCCAGATGAGGTGTCTAGTCTGCTCGGGACACACATGCACTGGGAAGGACCCTAATAATTCAGTGAGACTGACATGCAAAGGAGTCATGGGCCCATCGGACAGAGATTGCAGTGACCTCATCTCCCCATCCACCCCGCAGAGGAGGCATCCCCCAGGGACCCATCACGTGGGGGAAGAAGTCTTTGTGGAGTAGCCAGTAATGAGCTGTGGCCATTTGCGTCAGCGAATGGACACCATATTGCCACTGGGAAACATGCCCAGACTCCATATGGTGGGAGGCTTGCTAACGAGCTCAGGGTGCCCTGAGCACCACTCCTGCTTTGATTTTGCCAAACAGGCAGGAGCAGAAGGAGGCCAAGGGCCTTTCCTGCTGCTACTCGGACCCTGTCTGGGGCTTCTCTTACCAGTCCCTCCTCTTTCCTTGCTTCCTGGCACGTCATACTTTCCTACATCACTCAGGCCAAATTAGTGCAGGAAAGATGACCAGCATCCCTGGAATTTGCAGCTCCTTCCTCTCTGTCTTCCAAAGGCTGGCCCTCAGGTTGTAGGGCATGATACAGATGGAATAACATTTATGGACCAGGCAATATATTGCAGGAAGGAGCCCTGGTGGTGCACCAGTGAAGCCCTTGGCTTCTAACCAAAAGGTTGTTGGTTTGAACCCACCCAGCAGCTCCATGGGAGAAAGACCTGCCAATCTGCTCCTGTAAAGATTAGTGCCCAGAAAACCCTCTGGGAGAGTTCTACTCTATCACATGGAGTCGCTTTGATTTGAAATCAACTCAGCAGACTTAGCAACAAATCTTGCAGGAAAGGAGATGCTTCCACAACCCAGTGGCACTCCGACTTACATGTTTGCTTTCAGCATCCTACAACATATCATAGTTCCCTGCTGCCATAAAGTGAAGTTATAAATTTTATGATATAGTTTTAGATAAATTAACCCTCATAAAGTGAACAAATGACCTAAAAAGATTACCATAAGAATACTATGCTTTGAAGATAATACAAGTAATGCAAACCTGGCCAACAAGAAAAAGTGGAGGAGCTGACACCTTTAACTGTTAGCAGTACTTTTGTTACCAATTTCATGAGTAAAAGCAATGCCAATGCAGTCAGCTATGATAGGCCATCAGTTAGAACCCTCTGAAATTATTTGGAAGACTACTCAAGCTATGGATTTCCATCCACTATCATTAACAATGGAGCCCCTTGGTGGTGCATATGGTTAAAGTACTCAGTTGCTAACTGAAAGGTTGGTGGTTTCAGTCTACCCACAAGGAAGTTCTGATGATCGCCTTCTACAAAACCAGCCATTGAAACTTTATGGAGCACAGTTCTACTCTGACACACATGTGATCACCATGAATTGCAGTCAACTTGATGCCAACTGGTATTTTTTATCTTTAACAAAGAATCTCACCCTAAATATTTATGGTACTTTAAAATATTAGCTAATAATAGTACAAAGCTTTTTAAAGGTATTTATAGTTTTTTCATCTTTAGTCCATCCTTTTAAAACCTCTGTGTTTGTGAGTGCTTTATGATGTATATATTAGTAAAAAGTAAACATCCATAATAGAAAATATTAACCAGCAAATGTTGGAATAATGGCTCAAAAATATTTTACTGAAATTGGGCATCATCAAAAAACTTGGGCCCTCTCTGGTCTGGAAAATTAGGCCTTCTGTATTGCAAGCTTGTCATCACACACTGGGAAGTCTCAAATTTTAGCAAGAATATCTAAGTTTTCTTTCCTTGCTGTACTTTGTGCTGTCAAATTGGTTCTGACTCATAGTGACTCCCTGTAACAGAGTAGAACTGCCCCATAGGGTTTCCTATGCTGTAACCTTTATGGAAGCAGATTGCCAGGTCTTTCTCCCATGAAGCCACAGGGTGAGTTTGAACATCAGCCTTTCAGTTGGTAGCCTAGCAGTTAACCATTTGCCTACCAGGGATCCTTTCACTTTCCTAAGATAAAGGGAATTTAATCATTAAAAAAAATAAATAATAAAGTCAGCCCTGGGATCAGAAAAGGAAAAAAAAAAAAAAATCAGCACAAATGAAACATGTCACAGCATACTGACATTTTTTTCCCTGCTGTGTGTGGTCTGCTGCCCTTCTCAGAGCTCTTCTCCTCAGTCACACAGAATGCCATATGCCAGGCTTCCACAGCCACAGTGAAGCTGATTCAGCATCTGGAAGGCCATCTTGTCCACCATGAGCCTTTGGACCCCTCCCATCCCCTCTCCAGAAGTGAACAAGCCTCAGACAGGAGCCTTCCTTCCCTGTACCTGGAGAAAATAGATGCTTTGAAAGCAGAACCAAAGCAACATGCAATACAACAGGATGGCTTCCACAGCAGAAGCAAAATCTTAGCTTTTTTTTATGCCCCGGTTTTTGTTAATGCCTGTATTTAGTTCACCTTCCCTCATTTAGGGGTTTTTCCAAATATTCCACTCTTCCCCCAGTTCCCCAGGTTCCATGTAGCTCCTGAGGACACTCTCATCACAAAATAAAAAAGAGTGATGCTTCTTGATTCACTCACAACATCTGAGACAATGAACACTGAGGCAGAAGACCCAAAAGAAAGTACCATCTCTAAACCATGGTGGGGAATGGTATCTTCTAAAACAGATGCTTCTTTAGGCAGTGCATGCCTCCAGCTGTGCCAGGGCATAAGTTGTGTATATGTTTTCAAGTCAGGGTGAAATCCCAATGAAAAATGTGACCCTGAGCAAGTCCCTTCCCCTAAGTATCACATTTCTCCTCCTTCAAATAATGTCCTTTCCACATTTCTCTGAAGCCTTTGAAGAAGTTCTTCTCTTGCAATGGTAAAAGAAAACCAGAAGATTGGAAAAAGAGTGGGCTAGAATTTCTCTCTAAGGTGTAAGAGTTTTTCTTCCTTTCATACATACATAGACATACAGCTTACATGAAGATGAAGAAACTGATGTATGGAGAACATTCTCTATTCTGGTTGCTCTACTAGAGTGAGAGATCATGCTGAACCTTAGAAAAGTAAAAGCATAATCACAGAAATCACATTCCTTACTTTTACATAATTAGCCAGGAAGAGAGAAAGGAGAGAAAGAGAAGGGCTTTTCTGTCCTTAGGCATGGCTGCTTGGCTTCATAGATGGAGCCTTGGATTTGAGTGCATTGGCCAGGCCTCTGCTTCAGTTCACTGTTTTCTTACTGATCTTGTGACCTGGACAAGTCATGCAACCTCTTAGCACCAAAATGTTCTCATCTATAAAAATATGTATGCATGATAACATAATACACAAAACATTGTTCCACCTCCTACTTTGGCGAGTAGTGACTGGGATCTTAAAAGCTTGCAAGCAGCCATCTAGACGCAACAATGGGTCTCTCCTCATCCAGAGCAAAGAAGAATGAAGAAAACCAAAAACTCCATGGAAACAATTAGTCTTAGCTAGTGGTACACCATGCAATCCACAGGCTATACAACTATGAGACCAGAAGAACTATATGGTGCCCGGCTACCACTGTTAACCACTAGGAGGGGATCTATGTAAGAGACCCTGGATAGAGAGAGAGAACAATATGGAACAAAACTCAAAATCATTTGGAGAAAAAAAAAAGGGGGGGGGGACTAGGTTTACTGGTCTGATAGAGCCTGGTGGAACCACTGAGACTATGGCCCCTAGCTGCCCTTCCCCTAGTTTGCCCTTAGCTTCCAGCCAAACAAAAGACAGGCATATGAGTTGAACATTTACCTGAGGTAGATACACTCCTTGGAGAAAATAATCATGGGAGAAAGAAGGGCTGTTTATGCACAGGAAGACAGCTCAGGGGGCAGGGGTGCATAGAGGGATGGACACAGGGAAGAGGTAACTATTGGGAAAAAGTGGGAGGGAAGCTGTTGCATTGTGGTAAATTGCAGTCAGTGTCATGAGACAAAGTATATGTAAACTGCTGTATGGAAAGTGAATTTGCTCTGTAAATTTTCACCCAAATCACAATAAAAAAAGAAGAAGAAGAAAAAAAACCACATGCACGTATGGTGTTTCTGTATTATGGATAAGATGGTTTCCTTTTTCCCTACAGGTTATTCTCCATCCCACTCCAAACAGCCCCAAACAGTCAGAGTGGCACAAAATGGCAGTCTCCAAAAACTGCCCTGATCAAGATCTAAAAATCAAACTTGCTGTCCGAATGGATAAGCCTCAAAACATGAAGCATTCTGGGTAAGTGTCTTTTTACAAGTGGTGTTTTGGATACATACCTGTTTCTTAAAATTTAAAAAATATATATATATATTTAAAGAAGTACCTGGAAGGAAACATAAAGCATCCGTGAAAGTCATTAAAATATTTTATATTTATTATAATCCAAACCAAAACCAAACCCACTGACAAGTTGATTCCAACTCATGGTGACCCTTTACAACACAGTAGAACTGCCCCTATAGGGTTTCTTAAGCTGTAAATCTTTATGGAAGCAGATTGCCTCATGTTTCTCCTGCAGAACAACTGGTGGGTTAGAACCACTGACCTTTTGGAAGGCAGCAAGTGCTTTAACCACTAGGCCACAAAAGCTTCCCGGTATTTACTATAAAACCCAAAAAAGCAAACCCAATGCCCTTGAGTCGATTCTGACTCATAACAATTCCCACAGGGTTTCCAAGGGTGTAAATCTTTATGGAAGCAAATTGCCTCATTTTTCTTCTGTGGAGTGGCTGGTGGGTTCAAACCACCAATCTTTTGGTTAGCAGCCAAATGCTTTAACCACGAGGCCACCAGAGGTCCTTGATATTTACTATAAAACCAAACCAAACCCATCAATCTTCTGCTTAGCAGTCAAATGCCTTAGGCAGTGTGCTACCAGAGCTCCTTGATATTTCTATACCAAAAAAGAAAAGAAACCAGAGTTACTGTCATCAAGTCGATTCTGACTCTTAGCCACCCCTCCTTGGGTTTCTGAAGCAGTATCTCTATGGAAATAGATTGCCCAGCCTTCTTTCCGAGGAGTGGCTTGTGGATTTGAGCTGCCAGCCTTCTGGTTAGCAGTCAAATGCCTTATGCCACCAGAGCTCCCAATATTTACTATGTTGTCGTTGTTGTCATGTGCCGTCAAGTCGGACCCGACTCATAGCGACCCCTCCTTGGGTTTCCGAGGCAGTATCACTACGGAAGTAGATTGCCCCATCTTCCTTCTGAGGAGTGGCTTGTGGGTTTGAACCGCCAGCCTTCTGGTTAGCAGTCAAGTGCCTTAGCCACTATGCTACCAGAGCTCCCCAATATTTACTATGTTGTTGTTGTTGTTGTTATGTGCCGTCGAGTCGGCCCTGACTCATAGCGACCCCTCCTTGGGTTTCCGAGGCAGTATCACTACGGAAGTAGGATTGCCCAACCTAATATTTACTATAGGCGTCCTTAATTCTTATGATTACCATAACTGCTTTTGTTTGTTTGTTTGTTTACCAGCAATTCATTTTCAGTAATAGAATTGTCAGTAGATTCAAACTTTTTCAAGAAACATCTAGGTGAGTCTCCTTAGGGGGTTTTATAGGCTTTACGTACCTATACAGGACTTTCAGAGTCTTTGGATTATTCACTTGCACTTTCTTAACAACCATATCTGTGAGGTTTGACCACTTGCATATGCCACCTTCAAACAATCAATTCAGACTGAATCAGTTTTAGTGTTACTTTTAAATTAATGACAAGAAAATAATAAATTTATGATCATCTTCATTTTCTTAAGGTTTGAAAGGAATAATCAAACCAAACCAAACCAAATCGATTCTGACTTACAGCAACCCCCGTTGGGTTTCCAAGGTAGTAAAAATCATTACAGAAATAGATTGCCCTGTCTTCCTTCCACAGAGTGTCTTGTGGGATTGAACTGCCAACCTTCTGGTTACCAGTCAAATGCCTCAGGCACTGAAGCACCAAGTGGGGCAAAAAGAATAGGTAAAATACAGTTTTATTTCACAGATCAAACCAATAATTTGTACAAAAAAATTATTGACAAATGGATACATGCTGAGGCATGGTCTATTAAACTACCTCACTTGGACCCTCATCTCAGGAACTATGATCACTTAGAGAGAAGCTGGGCCATATAGCTCTGAATAAGGGAACATTTAACCAATGTAAGGGAACAGGTGGATCATTCTCAAGCTTTCTGCAGGTGTCATTGCCATTGGCTATCTCAGGCCTTGGCCCCACTAGTCAGTAGAAGGTCTCATTAATTCTCTTTTGGGTAAATAGTGCCTAAGGCATTTGACTGCTAACCAGAAGGCAGATGGTTCAAACCCACCAGCCACTCCTCAGGAGGAAGATTGGGCAATCTACTCCATAGAGATACTGCCTGGGAAACCCAAGGAGGGGTTGCTATGAGTCCAGTTGACTCGGCGGCAGTGAGGTTATTTATGAGAGGGTATAGAATGTTAAAACTGCTGAGAAAACTAAGGACTGATTATAGGAGGAATTGAGAAACCCAACATCAGGACCTGAGATAAAGAAAGAGAGAGAGAGAGAGAGAGCTGCTGTCAAGTTGGCCTCATCTCATAGCAACCTTATGTACAACAGAATGAAACACTGTCCAGTCCTACATCATCCTCATGTTCCATAATGATGCCACCATGTTCAAGTCCATTGCTGTGACTGTTGTGGCAGTCCATCTCACTGAGGGTCTCCCTCACCCTAGCTGGCCCTCTGCTTTACCAAGCATGATATCCTGCTCCATCGATTGATCCCTCCCGATGATGTGTCCAAAGCAAGTGAGTTAGACAATGTTCTATTGTGATCCATAAGGTTTTCATTGGTTGATTTTCAGAAGTAGACCACGAGGCCTTTCTGCCTAGACTTTTATACTTGAGATGCTCCACTGAAATTGTCCACCATGCGTGACCCTGCTGGTATTTGAAACACCAGTGGCATAGCTTCCAGTATCATAGCAACACATGACCCACCACAGTACAAACTGACAAAAGGATGGTGTCAGAGTCTAGCCACTGATAAACACAGGTTTAAACAGAAACCCATGAGAAGTCCAAGGGGGAGGATAGGAAGTGGACATCTCAGCAGATGACCAGACCACAGCAGATGCAGTCAGAGAGTCAAGAGCAGGGCCCTAGCCTTGGCATCTTAGACTTGTAGGGAGCTAAGAAAGCTCAAGATTTAAGAGGAGGAGAGAAAACTCCCAGTCAGGGCACCAGAGGAGGTCACAAGCAGAGAACTCAAGAGGAAGACTGTTCATGAGCTGAAGACCCATCCCTGACCAAAAGCTCTGGCTTGGAGTTGGGGAATTTCAATTATATTATCTAGGGGCCAAATTAGTCCTGGAGGCCGAGATGGGATTAGGCAAAGCTCTTCTGCCTGTGGGCAAGGCCCTTAGTACTCATTATAAAATTCACTGTCATCTAGTCAATTAGGAAGTCTATTCAACAGGATGGAACTTCCCAGTAGGATTTCTAAGGCAGTAGATCTTTACGGTAGCATACTGCCCCACATTTCTCCCATGGAGTGGCTGGTGGGTTCAAACTGCCAACCTTTTGTTTAGCAGCCAAATGCCTTAACCAGCATGCCACCAGGGCTCCTAATACACAGTATATTCAGTCCTTTTTCAACCATCTGTGATGAATTCCAGCAGCTTTTCCTCAAGTAAAGAAGCGTCTCATGAAGATGTCTCAAGAAATGTTTCTGAGAGCCAGTTTTTCTCCTTTTCATACTCATGACATATATTCTAAAACTATTATATGTAATTGTAATTTCTTCTTAATATCTCCTCCCCCCTCAATGGTAAACAATTTAACTTCAAGGCAAAGGGGTTAAGAGTCCTGCTAGGTTCCTATAGCACTGAGAGAGAAGATCTTGCCCCTTTAGCAAAATAAATGCCCAGTTGCTGTAGAGTCAGTTCTGACTCACAACAACCCCATGTGTATAAGAGTAGAACTGTGCTCCATAGGGTTTTCAATGGTTGATTTTAAGTAGATTGCCAGGCCTTTCTTCTGAGGCACCGCTGGGTAGACTCAAATCTCCAACCTTTAACCTCCAACCTTTTTGACTAGCAGCTGAGCACATTAACTACTTGTACCACCCAGGATTTCCTTTTAAAAAATACTGACTCATAAATACTCAGTAAATATTTACTAAAGGACCCAGAGAGTAAACAGGACAGACAGGAAAAGAGAGAAAAAAGAAGAGGAGAGGGCAGATCAGAGAGACAGAAGAGAGAACAAGAATATGAAGGAATGCAGCTGCCCTCTACATTACTTTAAAAAAAAAAAAAAAAAAGCTTCCTTGAAAGGAGCAGGAGCTCAACCCACTTTCTAGGTCCCTTTGAAGCACTGTACTAGGACTTTTACAAACACTTTCTCATTTATCCCCACAGCAACCAGTTGACATAACTATTGCTTTCCCCGTTGTACAGATTCCCATTTCTCACATCCTATTTATTTATTCTGTTTGAAACTGAACTTACTGATCTGGATTTTTCTGTTGATTCATCTGTAAAATTATTAACATATTTCAGGCTTCCTTTACCCCACTGATGCCAAAAGAAATATGTAGCTCACTTCTGACATGCTCTATAGATATTTCAGATCACTAGGGTGCCATTTAAAAATTACCCCTGTCACAAAATATAGAAGAAGGGTCTGAAATAGCTGTAAGACATGAACAGTGATGCCCTAACACCATCAGGCCCAATGTGACCTAAATCAGGGGCGAACAACCTGAGTTGCATAAGGGACAGTTCAAGGAAAATGAAAATGTTTATGAATGACTTTTTTTTTTTTTCATTTAAACTTAAATAGCTTTACTGAGCCCCATTGTGTGAATCTAGGGGGTGGAAATATCAGAACAGTGTCACAGCTTGGACAGTAAAGAGGACTGTGAGGAAGCATAGTTGGAGTTATAAATTGTATTCCACTTCTATGGTTTTGAAAACATAAATGGAAAATCAGAATTACAGTGAATGACTTCTAGTTGATTGGCTGTGTGTGGTTCTTTAAAGAGCCACTGGGTCATTCAAAATACCTTTTATTATTATTCAATAGAAAAATGTCAGTGAGAAAAAGCAGCACTGCTTTTTGGGATGAAAACATTAATATCTGGGCATATAAGAAATCACAACTCCTGCATGCCTTTCTGAATTTTCATCTTCTATGTCCATATGGTGCTTTCCACTCCAGGAAGTCCATTCCCATGCATTCCCTTATTTCACTACTGAAACAGCC